TATGGTCGATGCTTTCTTAAGTGATGATCGGAGTAAGTAGACATAAATGGCGAATTTTTCAAAGAAATATAGAGAAATTTATTTCCTGAAAAAAAAAGTTTGAACAAAGTAACTATAAACAAATATTTTTTCTATCCTCTGCCAGCCGCAATGATGGAGAAAGCATTACTTCGAACCATTGCCAGTGAGACACGCTGCAAGAGTCACTCTGTTTCACGAGGCTCGTCCCTTAATCGAGACGCAATCTCGCCAATCCTCCGAAGGAACGCCATCGAACGAGGGCCAATAACCCCAGAAGTCTATACTGACATATTCGTTTCCTTTGATATCCTTCATTATAGAATGAAGAGCAACTAAAATTAAAATGAAAGAAAACCAAATCGAAAATTAACAATGTTTATCATAATGTTCGCAGTTATATTCAGTTGTCTCTCAAAGACCAATAAAACCACATCATTTGCACAATTCTCACTGGATTACTGCTCCCACTCTTACAAATATATTTCTTATTCCATCTGAACTAAATTGCGACATACTTTTATTAAGTGATTGGCAGTTTCCTCCACATATTTAAATTCTTCCATGTCTTGTCAACGTCGGGTTTAATTTACAATTAACAGAGAGTTTATACAAATCTTTTATATCGAAATTCTATGAATACCAAAGCCAAAACATAAATTTATATACAAACCTTTCGTTAATGAAGATAACACGTATAAGTTAATTGCCAGAAAGACAAAATTCGTTGCATAGGGCATCGGTTATTCACCTCGACAAGTAATGGGCTCCATTACGGCTGAGAATTTGATAAACAACATTTTACTAAACAGACGCCTTATCGCCGCTTCGAATCAGCCATGACCGAGGAAGACAATCAACCTTTGCGGCCATGATTAAGAATTTTATCGGTCTATTTAATATTTTAATTTTTCCTAATCTCATTTGTTTTACATAATTCCCAACTACATTCGTAGTGACATACATACACGCATGTATACGCACGTCATATCTCGTCTACATCACAATACACTTTACCCACGTCACTAAACTCATAAGTTCTACGATACTCACCATTTCTCTCTATCTACCCTGATGATGACTTAAGAAAGTCGAAACCTTGGGCCATATTTCTTCCGAAATGAAATGATTTTTCTGGCAGAAAAGACAAAAATATTTGCCTTAAATATATAGAAATATTGTTTTATATAGATATATATATATATATGTGTATTTATTACTTCAAACGTTATTATAGTGAACACTCGTAATTGAAATAAACGCCTCATTTTTAGTTTAAACATTACGTCTGTCCGCCTGTGCATTTGAGAAATTTCGGATTAAAGATAAATTCTTTAGAAATATATCTGTATGTATGTATGTAATATGTAGATGTATCATAATAATAATAATAATAATATCTGACCACTCGTATTGGAGAATAAACCGTCTATATATGTATAAGACCATATTTATGACATAGGAAACAATAAAATGAGAGTGTGGAAATTACTTCATCACTTCTGCCTCAGAACTCTTCTCCAATTATTTTACTTTCAAAGATAATCACAAACTTGACAAACTCAGGTTTTTCTCAAGCGATGACACTGTGTAACACGGTTTTTGTCCATGGGTAGCAACTGCTAAATTCATGTGTTTACGGCTAGAAAATATTAAAAATGGCTAATATTTCTTTCAAACTTTGGCCAGAATAATGATATTTCTAAAATTTACCAATTCCCATGTGATCATTCCCGTTCTTGCAAAATAGGAACAAAACGACAAATAGTATTTATTTATTCTACGATTACACAAAAGAGATCATAAAAAAATTTTTTAGAAGTGAGTAGTTTTTCGTGATTTACGCTTACAGTGTAAATTACTTTCATGAATCTGCTCCCAAATATCTTTTCCCATCATGTTTTCGTTATAGGATCCTTGGTAGCGGCATTCAAAATCCAGTATATACTGGTGGAATCGCTCGCCTTGCTTCTTGAATTTGTCAAGATGAGTGTCAAAGTTGTGGACTTTCAGGGATATCCAACTGGCCATTTTGTCGTAGTTCTTCACCAGGCTCTCAAAAAGGTCCAAGGATTCCCCAGAAAGCCCCGAAGCATCGTAGCAAAGTTGTTCCACGCTGCTTTCTCCATATTAGTGAGATTCTTCGGAAATTCCTGGCATTCTATTGTCTTGTTGGGTGGTCAGTTGGTTTCCTCCAAATTCATGAGATTACGAATTTCATGGTTCTATTTTCCCCTATCTATCATCCTGTAAAAGAGCAAACTAAAAATATGAGTATAAAAATACATTTTGTAAAATATATTTAATCCAGTATTATATTTCTGAAATTTACGTCTTCCCATTGGGAAAACTGCCTCTGTAATCTGGATCAATGACTTCATCCTCTTCTGAATTGCTGTTCTCTTCTGAGGTCGGCTCCTATTTCTCTCTTTCGGGGTATCGGTACTGGGAGGTTAGAGCCGTGTGGCACTAGCGTGATGGATGAAAGAACGTCTGGATATATGATAGCAGGCGCATTCTTATCAGCTCGACGTTTGGAAGAGTCCAGCATTCAAAAGAAGCAATTGCCTGAGTGGTCAGTTGGTTCCCTTCAAATTCGTGGGATTCCAAATTTCATGGCTCTATTTTAAAGTTACATTTTTTTTTTTTTAAATTCTAAAAAGTTACATTTTTTAATTTTTTTTTAAATTTCTGAAAATCATGCGCTGGATATGTAAGATTCTGACTTTGATTCCCAAACGTAGCAAATGGCACAAAAATACGGAATCTTGAATACTGAACCTCTCTAATATTCCGTATTTTCATGGCTCTTACCAATGATACAGTATAGAAAACATTCAAGATATCGTGGACACTAATGCGCCATTGTTGAAACATACGTAATTCATATTTTTCAATATCACTGGTTTAAAAAGAAATAAAAGTAATGAATATTTAAATTAAAAAAAGATTCCCAAACTTTTACACTTTAAAATTCCACTCTCCATACAAGCAAAACTTTCCATCTTACTTTCTAGAGTTCATTTACAGAGTTTGCAGATGAAATATGGTACCCATGGTTTGTCTTGATCCCCGGCAGGCATGTCGATATATGACTTGTAGGCCTCACATATTTTAGCAGATTTTGCCACAGAGTATTTTTTTTCACTCTTGACTTGATGAATTTGTCACAGACATAGCAAAATCCATCTACCGGATGCTAATAACGTCTTGATGCCCTCTGTGATGATTGAATCTCTCAACGACATCTTGATTGCACTATTTTAGACAACTAGAAGTAAACTGAACTCTTGAGCTTACTTTTCCCTGTATATAAACTACCATCTATTTTACCAGGACGTCCCAGAAATTTTGAAACGTTTAGAAACTTCTCAAAAGCTCTTGAAAATTCTAGAAAGTTCTAGAAAATTCTCCTTTAGCAACTCAGTGCTGAATCTGTCTGGAATGTAATGGAAAATAGCTTAGTTTCAAAACATTGATGGCCATTAAATAAAAAAGCAAAATTTAAAGGGAATTATAGTCATTTCCTTTGTTTTCTAGACAAGTAATTAAGAAATAATAATTAGTGAGCAGATAAATAAATATTAAAAATTTTGTTACGTAGTGTACTAGAAAACTAATGACTAAATATTTGTCACGACAAATCTTTTATGGCAGTCATCATAAAAATTACATCACACTTCACATGTATATTAAACACAATGCCATGGGATACACAGTGAATTTTGAACAATCTATTCAAGAAATGATATGCGAAAGTGGCTTGTCAATCATCGCTCTACGAAAGGACAGTATTTTTTTATATCGGACTCTGTAAATTTGGGAACAGTCTAAGAATTAACTTTGATTTTACCAATTCTACTTTAAACGTTGTTCATGTTTATTAAGCTTAACTCAATTATAAATATTTCCCTGCATCATGTGCTTGCTAATTTCCCTGCATCATGTGCTTGCTAATCTCCGCTTTACAACAAATACAAATAATTTCGTCCATTTGATATTCCTTAATGCTCCTATACGCGTCTACAGAGCATTCTTACAGTCTCACTACGCTAGGTGTTGCTGCAGCGCTTTCTTCAACAATTGGGTTTTTGTGGGGATCGAATTGTCAGTCCTTCCAATCGCTTTTAGTTTCAAAGTTGCCTTTCTTTTGGACTGGTTTCCAACTATGGTTAGTGTCATACAGGCAGAAAATGAGCAACTATCAACACTGACGCTTTGGACTTATGACTATGTGCTTTCCGCCAGGTGTATAAATAGTGGTGTCTGGCTACTGACTGCAGTGATTATTGAATGACTATTGAGTGGAACTATCCAGTCGAATTAGTGTGAATTATTGTGCGTCGGGGATTTTGATTTTGATTCAGAATTTACCGGATGTTAAGCCGAGCCGCGCTACTAACAAGGTATTCACTGAAATGGTTAATTATCTTTGGTTGACTTTTACTTTTTTGTTCTTGTTAAGTATTTATTTGCGGCTGTAATTAAATACAGTTTTACTTAACATTGAAGTCTTGAATTATACTTAATTATTAGCGGCCACCATACGTCACAAAAGTTAGAAAGTCCAGTCTGCCATTCTATTTCACACAGTTGAGAAAAGAATGGACGGATTCATGCCTTTCCCATGTGTATTTGTGCGAAAGGGAACTCGGGCGAAATTTGAACTTGTTATGCCGATTCCACTTTTTTGACGATACCTGCTACAATAGACGCGCATATCCGGTTCATATCAAATTACTGTTGGTTAAAAGAAAAACAGAAATATTTCTAATCATCATCATCCAAGGTGACCCTTCCAAAATCGGAGGAACATTCCAATGTAAATATATTTCGAAAACCTTCCGTGATGGGCGAGTCACTTTTTAAGTCGACAAAGAAAATTTTACATTTTTGTTGCCGTGACAGACTTTCGCTTTAGAATTCACCAGTGCCGCCTCACAGACGCCCTTATTGTTATTTTCGCGAAGTACCCCTTTGCAATGACCCCCCCCCTCCTCAACCTATCTTCAAAGGAAGCAGGTCGTAGTTATCTCAGTGAACTCGTGAATTAATTGTTGGCATCTTTAGTTTCGTCTACTGAATCTTCTGTTTCGTCATCCTCCAACACTGCCTAGCATTCAATTGACATCAAAGCATTGCTCACACTTTCTCTTTTTCTTCCTTTCTTTCTTTTCTCTTTTTTATTGACCCTTCTTTCTTTCTCTCTTTCTTTCTTTCTTTCTTTCTTTCTTTTTCTTTCATTAATTCTTTTCTCTTTTTTTGTTTACCGTTCTTCCTTTCTTTCTTTCTTTCTTTCTTTCTTTCTTTTTTCTTTCTTTTCTTTTTTCATTTACCGTTCTTTCTTTCTCTTTTCTCTTTCTTTCTTTCTTTTCTCTTTTCTGTTTACCTTTTTTCTTTGCTTCTTTTTCTTTCTTTCTTTATTTCATTTTACCGTCCTTTTTTCTTTCTTTCTTTCTCTCTCTCATTTTCTTTATAACTTTCTTTCTTTCTTTCTCTTTTTCTTTCTGTCTTTTTCTTTCTTTCATTCTTTCTTTTCTCTTTTTTGTTTACCGTTCTTCCTTCCATTCTTTCTCTTTCTTTCTTTTCTCTTTTTTGTTTACCTTTCTTTCTTTCTTTCTTTCTTTCTTTCTTTCTTTCTTTCTTTCTTTCTTTCTGTCTATCTAACTGTCTGTATATATGTTGGTATTTTTCTCTCTGTTTCATAACCTATTTGCACCTGACGTGCCAAATGCCATGGGTTCCAGTATGTAAAGGTCATGTCATGTTGACGTCCTGGAAATGCCTTGACCTATATCTGCCTATATCTGTTCAGTTCCTGCTTTTCTATCCTTCTCTTCCTATTTATCTAATCAAGTATATATATATATATATATATATATATATATATATATATATATATATTCTGTTTATACGTTATTTTAATAGATACTATTTATTTAATTAATACTCTGTTTTTTTTTTTTTTTAGATAAACAATATTAATTACATTAAGCAGAATTAAATACATTAACTAGTATTAATTACATTAATCGAGAAATTTCGTAGATAATATGTGTTCTCCGACCAGAACCAAACCTGTGTCCTATACGGAAACGTCAATTGATCTGACGTGCTATACTACTCAGCTACAGAGAAGCGTCTGTTAGCAATGTCAAAATTATTGTTTATGAACAACAAATCTCCGGCGATCTTTCCCAAACGATAATATCTGCTCACGAAAAGATCGGGAAAAGATTTGTTGTATATAAAAAGTAATTTGAACTTTGCTAAACAAACGCTTCTCTGTAGCTGAGTGGCATAGCACGTCAGATCAATTGACATATAGGCCACAGGTTCGATTTCTTTCGGAGAAGGCATGTGTTCTACGAAATTTTTCGAACATTCAGGCTGGTTAATGAAATTAATACTGTTTATTTAAAAAAACAAAAAAATACCCCCCAAAAAACAGAACATTTACTTAAATAATTTGTATCTCTTATAGTAACGTACAAACAAAAATCTCTTAAATAATTATTGGAATTATATATATATATATATATATATATATATATAATATGATTTAAAATATGTTTTTTTCGCTACACAGTAATAACCATGTTTCAAAAACTGAAGCTAAAAAACAGACAACATGTTTTTAAAGGATATCAAAATTCGTTGAAAAATACACCCCTACCTTCCCTAAACTTAACCTCTTTTTCGAACGTAACTCATAATTGATAGAACAAGAGTTAATAAAATTGATCACGCTACCGCCCCTGCCTGAATGATTGGATTTCTCTGTATCCTTGGAAACAGGAAATTATGAAATGATATGTGCGCTTAAAACTCAGTAAAAGTAAAAATGTTATTCCAAAATTCGCTTGAAGATGAAACGGAATTAATGCTTTTAATTTAATTAGATTTGAGTTTTTAGCTTCAGTTTTTGAAACATGGTTATTACTGTGTAGCGAAAAACATATTTTAACTCAGTTAATTTATAATATTTATGCTCTGTAAATTTACATTGGGCACTGTTCAGTAAAAATAAAAAATATCAATAAGAACAACGGATTATATATCTTACTGTTCTTTTATTTATACATACATTCATATATATATACATATATATATAAATATAAAAGTGAACATAGAAGTCAACACTTAGAGGCGACAGTCTGTTTCCTGCTATATGTAATCGTCAGGCCACGAGTGCTGTTATTTTTCTCGGCTATTTATATATACCGGTCAGTAGTGCATTGTGGGTAGTCTGTTTTGGTGGTTATTTTATCGGAAGTCGTTTATTTGTTTATTTATTTATTTGGGTTAAATTGTTTCGCTTGTTTTTATTCATTTTTATCTTTATTTTTATTTCTTAAATAAATGAAACCAAAGATCTATAGCTATAACTGTTATATAACGATAAAAGAAAAAAGTCTACGTTACTTAAAAATCGAAAACCGAGAAAAGAAAATATGCAGTATAACAAATAAATAATAACAAGTAAAATAAATTGACATAAAGTCTACCAAATAAATAAAGAAAGAAACAAACCGATCCCGATAAACTAACCGTTAGAAAAAAACAAATAAAGATAATCAATCGTAATAAACACATGAAGTAATAAAAAAATTAAAAACTGTTCCCGCCAAAATAATAGTTAGAATAAACTATAACAGTCAACCCAAAATTGAATAAATAGTTTTAATTATCTTCCCAAACCAGAACAAAACTATTAAATAAGCGATATAAACAAATTTTAACTACGTTAATAAAAACACCGATTAAAATAAAAAATAAATAAATATATAAGATAAGAAATAAAAAAAATAAAAATAAAAATAAATACAAACAAGCAAAATAATTTAACCCAAATAAATAAATAAACAAATAAACGACTTCCGGCAAAATAACCGCCAAAATAGACTACCCACAATGCACCACTGCCCCGTATATATAAATAGCCGAGAAAAATAACAGCACTCGTGGTCTGACGATTGCATCTAGCATGAAACAGACTGTCGCCTCTAAATGTTGACTTCTATGTTCACTTTTATATTTACACACGCTCTATCTCTGATATTGAGCACTTTATCCCATAAATATAGCACACCTTTAGAGTATATTTCTTCATTTATATATATATATATGTGTGTGTGTTTGTGTATGTGTGTGTGTGTGTGCGCGCGTGTGTGTGTGTGTATATGTATGTCTGTATGTGTGTGTGTGTGTTTCGTTAAACACGACTGACAAGGTATTGCAATTAAGCTTTATTTTTTCTTGTATTCGATGAAGCCAGTTACCATAAAAGATTACTAAACATCATTGATGACCGATCTAAATTCACTAAATTAAAAAGACCCACCACCACCGGGGACCCTAAAAATATCAACCAACAACCTCAAAACATCGAATAAAGCCGACGTTGGCTCCCTGAAAATCAGAAAAAAAAAATCATCGTAGACTGCCAAAAAGGATTCTTAAACGGAAATATAGAAATACAAAAAACCGGATACTCACTATGAATTATATCCCAGATGACCGATAAACTGCATCCGCGTCCTGGGTAAGACAATAAGCTGCGTCCAGCAACGGGGCCTCTGGTCGGGAAGTTTTGAGAAGTGAGGAACCACCTCTAGATTGCTGGTGTTCCCAGGTCCACCCTGACCCGAGTGGTAGCACTTGTTTGGGTCCCAGCTGTGGGCGGGTGGTTGCACCCAAACATGGGGTCAAAACTCACTGAAAAAATAGCTTTTCATACCAAAGTATTTTGTAGAAGAGCTATTACCAGCAAGAAATTTTTGAAAAAAAATATTACAAGAAATAGGTTTTTTTGAAGGAAAAAATATTACCAGCAATACATTTTGAAAAAATATTACCAGCAATAAAAATCTTGTCGGCATGAAATAACCCACTGAGGCCGATATGTTGTAAAACAAAACAAACATTTCCCAGCTAACAACCCCTACCTTTGAGCTATGAAAATTCTTTAATGACATCATTACCCGTTACCTATCCACCAATTACAGCATCACATCGACCCACAAATTCCTCCAAATTCTAAAAAGTATAAAACCAACTTGAGGTATTTTACAGTCATCCTGCGTTAAAAATTTATTCATAAACGTCCCCGTTGATCAAACCATTGACATTATCCTTAACTCTGTGTACACAAATAATTCCATTCCACCGCCATCCAGTAAACCAAATATCCTCAAAAGATTATTCCATGCATGTACAACCAAAGTCCCCTTTTACGACCATAATGGCAACACCTACACCCAAACTGATGGTGCTTGTATGGGGAAATCCGCTCGGCCCATGCTTCTCTAATTACTATATGTCCCACGTAGAAAACATTGTATTTAAAGAGGTCACTACACTCAAAATATATGTCCGCTACGTAGAAGATATTTTTATTTTAGCGAAAAACAATCAAAAAACAAATAATCTTGAGTATTTCTTTCAAATGTGGTTTTGAAACCACATTTGAATAGAAATACGTTTCCTAACTTTGACTGAGTCAAAAGAATAAATTTCCATTCTTAGACATTCTCGTAGAATTCAGTACCAGCACTTTCACCATAGCATTATATAAAAGCCCACTAGCATAAAGTCTTGCCGCCTTAATTTTAACAGTGAATGCCCACTTAGATATAAAATAGCAGTTATAAAAAAACATTTCATAAAGATAGTACACGCGAATTCATCCTCTCTTCTACTTATCCTTAAAGAACTCAACAATGCAAAACAGACACTAGTTAATAATTGTTTTTCTAACTACCTCAACAAATTAGACTATTTCTTTGTAAAGTAACTAATGACAATACTGAACACACAGACAAAAAAATAACATTAACACCTTCTACAGAAGCCAAATACAGGTCATTTATAAGCAAGATTAGAAATATCATAAAGAAATACACTACGAATAAGAAATTAAATTATTTATCTATTACAAAAAATTTAAAACGGCTTACCTTATCATAAAAAATAACAACACACCTTCAAAAAACCACAAAGAACCAACATTATTTACAAGTTCAAATACCCCTTAAGGAACTGTATTCCTGATCAAACCAAACTCATTAATTGTTACATCGGTCACACTACTACATGCCTATCCAGACGACTTATGTTACATAGGTCCGACCACAGCTCTATTAGAACTTATTTAAACACACAGAAAAAAACCTACCAGACTTCATCTGAAACATAGAAAAATAGAAGCATAATAACCTCATCCACAAGTAAATTAGATTAAAAATAATGCAAGCCGTGATAATAAAAAAACGAAAAATGATATTAAGTATGAACACGGCCACAATCTGGTGACCGTGTTTGAAAAATAAAACATCCTTATAACTCTAGATACATACATAACACAACCGATACATTCAGTTAAAAGTAAAATAAAATCATACTTGATAATGGATAAAAGCGGTCGGAAATGAAGAACATTTGGACTGTTTTTACAAATTTTGTCTCCACAAAAATCCTTGTAAGAATAGAAGAAAAATGAAATAAAAAGATTTATCGCACTACCTTGTCAGTAGTCTTCAACGAAACTTGTACAAAAAGAGTAAAAGAGTGTTGGCGCCTAAACACAATATATATATATATATATATATATATATATATATATATAAAAGAGAACATTGAAGTCAACACTCAGAGGCGACAGACTGTT